TTCAGTCTCCACAGCCCAGCCTCTGGAACTCCCCCTAAATTGGATCAGCTCACTGTCATTTCAGGGGCAGGGTCCCCAGAAGGGACCCTCCCCTCCCGCAGCCCTGCTAAGATACCAGTGAGCTTCTTGCAGATGTCCCCAGACTCTGCTCAGGGGACTGGAAAGCAGTGGGCTGACAGGCTGAGGGAGACACCTGAATGGGCAGCTGGAAAGGGACCTGGAGAGAGAGGGACATTTGCATAATTTAGAGGCAGCTTAACTCCCCCTCCCCCCAAACCTTCACCCCTTTAACCTCCCTGGGAGCTGGGAGCTGCAGGCCTTACCCTGCCTCCCGCCCAGCCACCACTCCCAGGATGCTTTTCTTCGGCAGGCACAGGTGCTACCTGGGGCCCAGAGTCCCTGTGGTGGGGTGGGCCGCTTGGGGTGTGTGTGCGTGTGTGTGTGAATGCAGCATGAACGACGGGGTGTCTGTGTCACTGGTCTCTTGTCCCCTCTGCCACATCCCTGCTCTGCACCCCAATATCCTCGACAGAAGAAGGGGCATATGGAGGCAATAGAGAATAAAAGTGAGTCCAACCCCCCACTGGATTTGGGGGTCTCTGACGGCTGGTCCGTGCTTTAAAGGAGCGTGTGTGTTTGTTCCAGCAGCTCCCCAAAGCAGCCGGCTCTGAAGCTTGGGGAGCCCTGTTGTTCTGGGTCCCTGGGTTCCCCAGTTCCATGAGGGGACCAGGAGGCTGGCTGAGAGTTCCACACGCCCCACCTTGCTTTGAGCTCATGAGTCTCCCTTATCACTTTCTTTTTCTGGGGTCTGTGGAGGCTGCCTCCTCGCCAAGGGGCAAGGGGTAAAAAGCCCTCACCTTCGGGGTTGCACCCTGGCTTCTCTTGCTGGGCTGGGAGGACAGAGGCTCGATGCGCTGATGGTGTGACCCCAACACCCACTGGAGAGGCCAGGGGCCTCTGTGAGTGAGGGGCGGGGTATTTGGGGTTTTGTTCTTGGCTGACTCGGACATGAAGGACATGAGCCCTGGAGACAGGAAGAGCCCGGCTGGATTTAACGGGACACCTCTGTCATCCCTGGGAGGGAGCCAGCTCTGGGAGCAGGGGCGTCATCTCCCCACACAGAATCTCCCAGACTCACCTTCTTAGCCCAGAATTCCTTCCGTGTGTCCAGTCGATGCTGGAGGAACCTTCTAGAAGGGGAGAGGGTGCCCCTCAGAGCCCCTCCGGGTGACCTGCAGAGACTGCCTGTCTGGAACTCACTGGTGGCCCTGGACAAGGGGAGGAGGAGGCTGTCTGTGGGGCTCTATGTCACCCCACCTGCCCCCTCTTCGGAATGCCTGTGCTATTCTCCGACCCTGTTAGTCACTGCGGTTGATAAATAAATCAGTTTTGTGTAACTTGTGTCCAAAGCCTCTGCTCGCCCAAGTGTCCTGGGGTGAGCAAAGACCCACAAATGTTCCAGAGTGGGGGTGGGGTGGGCTGAGCAGGAGAAGAGGACACAGCAGGAGGAGAGGGGGCTTAAAAGAGAAAGTGGGGGCCAGAAGAATGGGGTGGGGGAGGTGGTGAGAAGAGGAGAAAATAGACACCAGGACAGGGCAAGGACAGGCGTGAGCCTGGAGGGAACAAGAGCTCAAGGAATGGGCAGTTGAGATTTTACCCTCTGGAGAAAAAGAGGAGCTGGACTCACTTGAGGGCGTCCAGAGCTCCGTCTGGGGGAACACCAGCTTTTCTTCCAAGGAGGCTGAACTGTGAGCCACTCATGGACTTGCCCCTTTATTCAGTTATCATCCCTGCTAAGTCGTTCGTTCGTTTGTTCATTCATCCATTCACTCATTCATTCATTCTTCAATATCACACAAGTGTCCAGTTCAGGACACAAGTTCAGATGCCTATTCTCCCCTCAGAGTCTCTTGGGATGAGTTGAATCAGAATCTCCTAAACTCCCCCCAGGGGGTCACCGTTCCTAACGCTCCTCAGGTGGTTTCTGGGGGAGGCCAGCTTGGGGATGTCTTCATCCAGATCGAGCTGTCCAAGTTCAGGTGGGCACAGACACCCAGCCCGTTGGAGCCTGAGAAAGCTGAGCTCTGGATGGTCAACCCCTTGGGGTGGAAGGGGCTGAGAGGCTCTTAGGGGGACACCACCCTTGACAAAGACCTCTGGGTACTCACAGGGTTTGCAGAAGACACAAAAGCCACCACCACAGTTAAAGGTTTATCGGGAGCTTGCTTGTGGCTCCGCACCCTCCTGCTGAGTGTGTGTGATGTCCTGTGTGATGCCGTGTACCCCTCGCCGCCCTCCCCCACGCATGACATCTTTACCTCATTTTACTGAGAAGGCAGTGAGGCTCAGAGAGGTCGCTCAGGAACCGTGGCCAAGGGCACCCAACTAGGGCGTGAAGAGACGGGCTGAATTAGTGGAATCTGTCCATGTCCAGAACCCGTCATGCTCTTGACTGCTG